AGGTTAGATAATACTTTTTTATAATATAAAAAATAATAATTAAATTTTTTTTTCTTATAGGTAAATTTTGTTAATTAATTTTATTTAATTAAAAAAAGAAAAGAGAGTAATTTTTTATATAAATTAACAATAAAAAATATAAAATTATATATATATATATATATAACCTATGCCTAAAAATACCCATAATAATTTCCTTATTTTGTCAACCGCCACAGTTGTGGGAGTAATTTTCTACGGGAAAAAGTAATTTATTTTCCTTTTTATTATTTTGGGATGGACTCAAGATTCAACCTTCGAAATCAACCCCAAACAGCTAGTCAAGATCTTTATATCCATTTCCTATTTCAAGCGCACACGTCTGAAGCAGTGTATCAATCTATTCCTACTTCCCTAACTTACCAATTGAAAATGGCGACAACCCTTACCATGGGCGGGGAAAATCAATTCGACAGGGACGAAGAGGTAAAACGGTTTGACGAATCTAAGATCGGAGTTAAAGGCCTAATCGACGCCGGCGTCACCTCCCTCCCTCGTCTCTTCATCCACCCACCGGAAACCCTTGCCGACCTCAAGCCCAGGCCTGTCCGACCCGACTGCCAATCCATCATCATCCCCACCATCGACCTCTCCGGCCCACGCGCTACTGTCGTTGAGCAAGTCGCGCAGGCGGCTCGCCAGTTGGGGTTCTTCCAGATTGTCAACCATGGGATCCCGGTGGCAGTGCTTGACCGAACGATTGGGGCCATCAGGGAGTTCCATGAACAACCCACGGAGGTCAAGGCGCGGTTCTACCGCCGTCGCGATGTCGGCAGCGGCGTATCATTCATTTCGAACATCGATTTGTTTGTCTCAAAAGCCGCCAGCTGGAGGTCCGATTAAACGAGAATTCTGAACCCTTCTCATCCCTTTCTCCAATTTTGAATTTCAATTGTAGCAGAAAAACCTATGGTTTTCATGACTCGGATTGCAGGGACACGCTTCAGGTGAAGCTAGGTCCGACGATGGCGGAGCTTGAAGAGATACCAGAGGTATGCAGAAACGAGATTGTGGAGTGGAACAGAGAGTCGAAGCAGCTGGGGGAGCAGTTGATGGGTCTGTTGAGTGAAGGCCTTGGACTGGAAACAGATAGGCTGAAGAAGACGACGTGCTTGGAGGGAAGGGTTATGGTGGGTCACTACTATCCCAGCTGCCCGCAGCCTGATCTGACTGTGGGGCTTGCGTCTCACACCGACCCGGGAGCTCTGACTGTTTTGTTGCAGGATCAGATAGGTGGGTTGCAGATTAAGTACGGCGATGAGTGGCTGGATGTTAAGCCTGTGCATGGAGCTCTTGTTATAAACATTGCTGATGTGCTGCAGGTACTAATTCCTTGGATTAAATCATATTCTCTCATTTTTAGATGGAGATGTGTCCATGAGTCCTTACCTTCCGGGATCTTTAAGGATATACCCACATCCGCACTATAATGAAATTAATTAATTTTCTTAATATTGACCTAATTTATAAGATAATATATACTTATATAGTAGTGAAGATGACTCTTGGAATTATGATATCATATTCTTTCAAGTTTGAAACTTGATAATTTCTGGATCGATTGTAGAATATTACTTGAATAGGCTCAACATTGAAAACAATCTAGACATATTGAGTCACGAAGGTGATAGGGTCGAAAGTGACTAAGCTCATGGACATTCTTAGAGTTAAATTACCTAAAATGTTCTGTCATGGATGTTAGAATGAAAGCTATATTGATTGAAACATTGTGTGTTTCTTTTGGTTTCTATGTGTTTCAGATAATGTCTAATGATGAGTACAGCAGTGTGGAGCATAGAGTCCTGGCGAATCCTTCCCCCGAACCGCGGGTGGCAGTAGCTGTTTTCTTCAATGCAAGCGCGAGGGAAGACCTGTATGGACCATTTCCCGAGTTAGTTTCACAGGAGAAACCTGCTGCCTACAGGCAGTTTACTTATAGTGACTACATTACAAGGTTTTTCACCAAGGAATTGGATGGAAAATCTTTAACAAATTACTACAAGCTGTAAGGGAGACCTCGAATGTATTAGTCCTGGATGGTCACTTGGATCTTTAAGTTCATTCATTTTCTGTGACTCCAGTACATACTTGACAGTTAATAAATTCAAGAATTATTGAATAAACATTATCTTCAAATGTTATCTCAAGAATGTTTCAGTGGGTTAGAGCTTGAGTTTCTTTTTTTATTTATCCTTTTTTTTTTTTTCTATTTATGGCCTAAATAAATCGGCTATTTCTTCATCATCAGTAGATTCAAGCAGTTGCAAAAGTTCTCCAACTTTAGGTTTATCAAGATTCATAATTTTCTCTTTTCATTGCAGGGGTTTTGCTCCTCCCTCCCATCTATAACTCCCACTTTTTCTACAGGGTTCCAAGATGACTGATTATTCCAAGGAACACAATCGATTATTTTGGGCCCTTTCCCCCAAAAGTTAGTCTTCTAGGAGTTTAAAGGCAGGAAATCACTTCCAGCTCCCATCTTTCTTTGGGAAAAAATCACTTAACAGGGAAAATGGTGGTTGCCAAACACTGATAACTATTTCAGGCTTGACCATTTCCGACCATTTTCCAGAAATGTTTGCAAAAAGAATACACCCTAAAAAGTAAATATTCGGAGCGTATTTACCATGTAGAAGTTATTTTTGTTAAAGTGGCTTCATGCCCTGGTATTTTCTTAAGGAAGACACTTCCACTAAAATCATCAAAAGTTAATAAAACGCCAACATCTGGGTAATTTTCCAAGAAAGTATATGGACAAATGTCCTTAACGACGTAACTTTTTTTTTTTTCCTGATCGGCTTAATGACATAACTGTTGTTAACACCAGAAAGTGGTCGATAGGATTCTGACTAGAAGGCTAAGTGGAGATGGACGGCTGACAAGTTCTTGACGTGCGCTTATGGACGGTATTCTGGATTCTGATGAGGAATCTACAAAACAAAGAAGGCATTAGAGTTTAGCTAGAGATCAGAGTTGGTTTCCAGCTTAATACTCTGATACTTAATGTAAGATATGAATCCATGGTAGAAAACTGCCTGCGTGTGGAGAGCTAGAGGAAGAAGATGAATCTAAGAGAGGAGAGTTGAGCGTGGTGTGTATGAATGAAAGAGAATGAGTGGAGGGAATATCTGATAACTATTTTCATGTGATCTTCATGCAATCCCTTTAAGTCTCGCTTGCAGGTTTCTAATCCTTCAATGAGTACACTCCACCTGTTTATTTTCAAAATATCTTTTTGAATAAGGCAGTTACTCAAAATATTTGATAGAATTCCTGAATCCAACTTAAATTCTAAAGCCTTATCAAGTTTTCACGAACCTAGCCCAATTAGTGGCACGTCAAATTCTTGATATAACATCTGTCATCTCCATAATCAAGAGAAATTTCTTTTTATCACAAAACTAGTAACCAAGGGAAATTGTTAATCTCTTATAATATATTTCATGTTATAGAAAATGAGCTTTTAAAGCTATACTAATCCATTTTAATAGTCTCTTTTACTCTTAGCCCGAATTCTTGCAAGTAATGTTTTTAGAAAGTAAATACTGAAACTTAAAAAATAATTTGATCAAGTGAAACTATTTAACAAATTATTATGGATAAACCTTTTTAAGGTTGGCAACTCGGGGTGGGTGATAGGGAGAAATGTCGGCAAAAACTTGGTTGCCAAACTTGTGGTTGATAACCCAGAATGCTTGTTTTGTACACAAGAGGAAGAATCCATATAATTATACACTCAGTTTTTCTTTTGTCCTGAGGCGCAAAGTGTTTTTATTTATCTAAATTAACTTATGGGGCAATCTTTGCTACTTTCATTGATTTTGTGCACTGGTGGCTACTTGTGCACCAAATCACTATCAATTCCCATTACGGATTGAGCCTTTAATACAGGATATATCACAGATATGGAGGCTGCACAATAGTTTTGTTTCTTGTAGTTTAATTGGTTTATATAGCTAAGGATGCCAATATAGCAGCAAATTGGGTAAGAAAGGCAGTTTTAGCTGATAAGCTCTATATCAGTCGGGTATGTTTGGCTTGAGAGAAAGAAAAGAATAGAAGAAAATTTTTTTATTTAGTTTTTTTTTTTTAAATTAACGGAGATAAGATGAGATGAGAATGAAGTCTTTTATTTTCTTTTTTTAATTTCTTAACTTATTTAAATAAAAAAAACCTTCATTTTTCTCAAACCAAACCTACCTATAGGCCTATTGCCCGCTCTCCATACCGTACAAACACTTTATGCTGATGCTGTTTATGTGAAGTATTTCATTTGAGGTTCAAAAGAAACAAGGCCAATGTTACATCAGGGCATACAAAATAGTAAGACCATTACAAACCGATAGACTCTGTTAAGCAGGACTGTCAGCCATATGAGCCACCATCTCTTCCCTCTAAAATTGTAACGACGTGAATTGTCTTCAGATTAATTTGTGGACTTATCTATTACATTAATACAGTACACTAAATTTTTTTTTAGATATATTAATTTTAAAATTTAAACTCTAAACTTAACTTATATTGATGGCACTTACCTATATATTTTTAATTGTAATTTGCAACCAATAACCATTTAAACAAATACTTTAGTTGACATTTTTTCTCCATCTTTATGTAGACTTTAATAACGTCTAGTTTCCGTTTCCTTAGGTTGACAAAATAGAAAATACAGAGCCCTGACTTCGAAGAGAAATAAAATAAATGGTACCTTGCAATTCAAGGATTCAAACATATCTAAGTCTTTGTAGCCATTGCCTTAACGGAACAGAAATGACTTAATTGAAAAAAATAAAATGACAGTTTGCATTTGAAATGAAAATACTCCAACCCTATAAATTTGGGTTATGTTATTGCCGTATGTTACGTTAAAGTCATATTAAAAATACAATTATATTTATAAAAATGTTTTATATATTTAAATTGTATTTAGAAGTGTTTGAATTAATTATTTAAATATATAATTAATAATTAACATTTAATAAATAATAATAATTATTATTTTTAATTTAAAATATTTAATTTATTTAATTAAACTAGCAATCGATAGTTATTTATAAATTTTAATAGTTTTAATACTTAAACTATATAAAAAAATGTAATACGAACTAAAAAAATATATATCTTTTGTTATTTTAAACCTTTTATTTTCCAAATTCAAATTAAAAAGCCACACATTTGTGACATTTCCGAGTTCCAAACTTCGTCTATCTTTGACATGACAACTCGTGGACGGGGCAAACCAATACGACAGGGACGAAGAGGTAAAACGGTTTGACGAATCAAAAATCGGAGTTAAAGGCCTCGTGGACGCCGGCGTCACCTCCCTCCCTCGCTTCTTCATCCACCCACCGGAAACTCTCGCCAATCTCAAGCCCAGCCCCGTTCGACCCGACTCCCAACCCATTCCCACCATCGACCTCTCCGCTCCCCGCCCCACGGTCGTTGAGCAAGTCGTGCAGGCGTCTCGCCAGTTTGGGTTCTTCCAGATTGTCAACCATGGGATCCCGGTGGAAGTGCTTGACCGAACGATTGGGGCCATCAGGGCTTTCCACGAACAAGCCACGGAGGTCAAGGCTGGGTTCTACGGCCGTCCGGAACTCGGCAGTGGCGTATCATTATTTTCGAACATTGACTTGTTTCTCTCAAAAGCCGCCAGCTGGAGGTTCGATTCCATGTGCCTTACCATCATTTTTTTTACATGCAAAGTAAAGGAAAATGATTAATAGGCACACAAACTTTAAGTGCTATATATGACTTGTAAGTGTCATTTTATAGTTGATTCTTTTTATTCGAAGACAGAGACACGCTCCAGGTGAAGTTAGGTCCGAAGATGGCGAAGCTTGAAGAAATACCGGAGGTATGTAGAAACGAGGTTGCGGAGTGGAACAGAGAGACGAAGCAGCTGGCGGAGCAGTTGATGGGTCTGTTGAGTGAAGGTCTTGGACTGGAAACAGATAGGCTGAAGAAGACAACGTGCTTGGAGTCGAGGACTATGGTGGGTCACTACTATCCCAGTTGCCCGCAGCCTGATCTGACGGTGGGGCTTACGTCTCACAGCGACCCCGGGGCTCTGACTGTGTTGTTGCAGGATCAGATAGGTGGGTTGCAAATTAAGCACGGAGATGACTGGCTGGATGTTAAGGCTGTGCATGGAGCTCTTATCATAAATATTGCTGATGTGCTTCAGGTATTAGCTTCTTGGATTAATTCATATTCTTTGAAATTGATAGGTAATTTCCCATTTTAGAATTTCAAAGACGTGGAAAAAAATATGTGGATAATATTTTTATACAATTTTTAAGCATAATTTATATATATATATATATATTTAAATAACTAAATGCAAATAATATTATAAGTATTAATAGAGTAAAAAAAAATTAATCATTAAATAAATATAAAGATATATAAATTATTTTCCTTTAAAACGCGTTGAATTTCTAATTCATTTAAAACTAATATTTGATGCCTTCGAACTTATATTTTTCAAAATGATTCAAATCCCAGCTAATCACTAAATTAGAGGCAACCCAGTGAATTATTTAGAAATATATATATATATATATACACACACATATATGCTTTTTCTTCCCTCATGGCATGTGGTATATCTGTCTGCCTTGTTCCATTGCTTAAAAGAGCTCAACATTGAAATGACAGAGCCAACTCAATCTACGAAAAGCTGATAGGTTGAAAGTGGCTAAGCTAATATCGACAGAAGACGTATTGGTTAATTAAAGAATAATGAGAGTTACGACTAAAGATTAAATTTTAAGAAAAACTTATAGTAGTTATTGATTATATTGAAAGCCCCAACCATATATAGACTCATATAATCAATGTTAAAATAATTTTGTTTCAAAATTTCATTCAAAATTTTGTTCCCAACAATCATTATAGTATTAATTAAATTACCCAAAGTGATCTTTTATTTATGCATGTAGAATGAAAGCAACATGGATTCAAACATTGTGCTGTTTCTTTTGTTTTCTCTTTTTGGTGTGTGTGGTTCAGATAATGTCCAATGATGAGTACAAAAGTGTGGAGCACAGAGTTCTGGCGAATGCTTTCCCTGAACCGCGAGTGTCAGTAGCTGTCTTCTTCAATGCAAGTCCGGGTGCGAGGGAAGAGTTGTATGGACCATTTCCAGAGTTGGTTTCACAGGAGAAACCTGCTGTTTACCGGCAGTTTACTTACAGTGACTACATCAGAAGGTACTTCACCAAGGAATTGGATGGAAAATCTTTAACAAATTACTACAAGCTGTAAGAGAGGAATGTGCAGCAACTGAGTATGGTGTGCAAGTGGTGTTAGTCCTGTAAGGACGTTGTTCTGCTTCTTTATGTTCTATATTTCAAGCCTGTGACTCCAATGTCTGCGTGATACATACCTGACAGTAAATAAATTTTAGAATTTT